TGGCTGCGCACGTATATTCAGCAAATTGAGCGATCGCGAATTTCAATGTCGCTGGCCCACGGTACGCGATGGTATTCAGTATTGCGCGCGAGCTGATCGCAGTAGTACTATAGTGGGATCATATATAATGAAGCAATTCAGTCGTCTCGCGAACCCGAAACCGCATGTAATAGTCTGAACACGGTCTAGATACTTATGATACTCTACGTAGATGCATGCGCATGACAATCATACACCAACCCCTGAGCGGCCCGTTCACTTCTGCCTCTTGTAAATCTTGTCCAAGAACGCCTTGAACACCTCCCTCTTCAGCACGATCTCGCCCTCCCGTGCATTCGGCTTCTCAGGGATAGTCTCGATGAGGCCCATGATGCGCTTGTACGCCGCCTCCTCATATTCCTCGTACTTCTTCCTGATCCCCATCTCTTCGTACAAGGCCTTCACGCGCGCCTCAGCATCCTTGTCTTTCCGCCCATAGTTCGCGTCCAGCACCGCACGTTGTTCAGGCGTCGCGATCGCCAGCGCCGTGTTCACGCACCACGAGCACTTGTTGTCGATGATGTCCGTCCCGATCTTCCCGAGTACCTCGGGTGGCGCAGCGAAGTCGAGGAAGTCGTCCTGCACCTGGAAGTACTCGCCGAGCGGGATGAGGATCGACTGCGCGAGCGCGTACGGGTCGTTCGTCTCGCTGTGAGGGATTCCGCACATGTACATCGCGAGCGCGACGGGCAGGTAAAACGAGTAGTACGCCGTCTTGTAGATCACGATCTTCTGGTGCCTGATAGTGTGCGGTGGAGGGGCAGAGGATATGTGAGAAGGGTGCCCACAAAGACTGAGGTGGAATGATACGTACTTCTGGAGGGAGAACTTGCTCAAGTCGACATGGTCCTCCGGTGCAGTGATCAGGTCGATCAGCTGGCCGATCTCCGTCTGGAACGTCGTCTGCATCCCTCACGTCAGCATGTCCGTGTGTTCACAGTCAAGCGAGGGGACTCACGTCGTGGAAAAGCTCAAGGAGGTGGACGTAATACGGCTCGGTGCGGAAGTGCTTCTTGAGCAAGTAGTAGATCGCTCCCTCGAGCATGAATGAGTCGTTGATCGCGATGTAGTTCACGCCCTCGATCCGGAACCAACATGGCTGCCCGCGACGGGTCACCGACTGATCCATCATGTCGTCCGAGACGAGGAAGAAAGCTTGCAGCTATCGCGCGGGACGTCAGCGTTGTCCATTCATCGGGGGAGGGCAGAGCGAAAGGGCAGAGGGGGAAGTTGTGAACGTCCATGCGAACAGACAAGTACGCACAAGCTCGATGCACCAGCCCAGCAATGCCGCCTTGAAGTACTCGTCCTCGCTCAACTTCCTGCCCTTCAAGATCTCGACAGAGTCCACGACCGAAATCCCGCGGTTGAGCTTGCCCCCAGGAACATTGTAGTCAAGATTCTATCGCGCAGATATCAGTGTCACCGTCTTGATTGAAGAGGGGAGGGCGATGTAAGCAACAAATAGGACTCACGCGCTGGAACCAGGTGATCGCGTCGGACGGCATGCCCTCTTGCTTGAGGTACGCAAGGAGCTCCTCGCGGAGGATGGGGAAAACAGCCTCGAACTTTGCCCGCTTCTGTGCTTTTGCGTCGGCCATGGTTTTCTTGTATGTGCAGGTGTCCGGTGTAGACGGTAGGAGACGAGTTGCCCGAGAGGGAGTCGATACGGATTAGATGGCAGCCGCGAAGCAACGGAGCTGAAGGAGGGGGGAGATGGCGGTCGAGAGTCAAGCTTCAAATGGCAAAGCTTGAAGGAAGAGATATAAGGCAACGAAAGGCGTGTTCAGGGGATGGCACGACGCGAGGCGTGGTCGGAAGAGCGGAGGGGACCATCATCCTTGCCATCGATCGTCCGAGGCTCACTCGTTCCACTCTAAATTCCAAGACGCTCGCCTTGTCGTCCGCTCTTGTTTTCTGCCCTGTCTTGCAATCAATTATCACCTCCGGCCTCATCGCATCAAACACATGGCATAATGAGCATCCAAGAATGCATGAGTGGGGTGTATTGTTGTGATGCGTGCGAGTAGGACAGCGAGTACAGTACGTGAACGACGTAAAGCATTATCTAACTAGTGGAAAATCCAGACTATATCATAGCAACATGTAACCAGCGAGCGATGACTGTGATGCGTGACAAAAATGCGACTAGTATGTGTAAGGCAAGGATGGGGGGATGGTGGATGAGATGAGAAGTGCGACGAGGGAACTATGAGAAACGGGACAGTACTTTTGGTGCAGACAACGGACAGTCCACCGCGGATGACAGGTCACAACAACCAAGAAGCGAAAAAAAACACGACGCATTACGCATCGAGCTTCACCCTTAGAAGCCGCCCATGCCGCCCATACCACCCATGCCACCCATCCCGGCACCTCCTGCGGGCTTCGGCTCCTCCACCTCGACCACGCATGCCTCGCTCGTCGTGAGCAAGCTCGCAACACCCGCCGCGTCAATGAGCGCCGTCCGGACGACCTTGAGCGGGTCGACGATACCGGCCTGGATCATGTCGACATACTCGCCCTTGCTTGCGTCGTAGCCCCAAGCGAACTTGTCCGTCGAGCCGTAGTTGTTGAGCAGCGTGCCGACGATCACTGAGCCCTCCTCGCCGGCGTTCTGCATGATCGTCCGTGCCGGGTACGTGAGGGCGCGGCGGATGATCGAAACACCAAGTTCTTGGTCGAAGTTGGCGGTCTGAATTGGCTTCGCGTCGGGCGAGACGGGCGAGTTGCCATGCGCCCCAGGTGTGCTCGAGGCGAGCGCGAGTGACGCCTTGAGCAGAGCAACACCACCACCCGGAAGGATGCCTTCCTCGACGGCGGCACGCGTCGCGTTCAACGCATCGTCGTACCGGTCCTTCTTCTCCCCAACCTCGACCTCTGACGAACCGCCGACCTTGATGACGGCCACACCACCCGAGAGCTTCGCGAGACGCTCCTGGAGCTTGGTGCGATCGTACTCGGACGTCGTACGATCCTCGATGAGGGCACGAATCTGCTCACAGCGCGCCTGGATGGCGTCTTTCGAGCCTGCGCCGTTGAGAAGGATGGTGTCCTCCTTCGTGACCGTGATCGCACCGGTAGAGCCAAGCATATCGGGCGTCACCCTGTCGAGCTTAATGTCGAGCTCGTCAGTGAAGACGGTACCACCAGTGAGGATAGCGAGATCGCCGAGGATGGACTTGCGGTTGTCACCGAAGCCAGGCGCCTTGACAGCGCAGACTTGGAGCTGACCACGGAGCTTGTTGACAACACAAGCGGCGAGGGCCTCACCGTCAATGTCTTCGGCGATGATGATGAGCGGGCGACGAGCCTGAGCCGCGATCTCAAGGGAAGGGAGGATATCGTTGATGGACGAGATCTTCTTCTCCGAGAGCAGGATGAGGGGCTTCTCGTATTCAACCTTCTGAGCCTTGACGTCGGTGACGAAGTAGGGAGAGATGAAACCGCGGTCGAAGCGCATACCCTCCGTGATCTCAATCTCGTCCTCGATGGTACGACCCTCCTTGACGGTGATGACACCCTCCTTGCCGACCTTCTCCATTGCCTGAGCAATAAGGTTGCCGACGTGAGCGTCGCCGTTCGCGGATATGGTCGCGACCTGCGCAATCTCGGCGGTGGTGGTGATGGTCTTCGCGTGACTGGAGAGGAACTCGACGACGCGGTCGACGGCAGCCTGCGAACCACGGCGAAGGTCCATAGGGTTGCAACCAGCGGCAACGTTCTTAACACCTTCGGAGTAGATAGCACGAGCGAGGACCGTGGCCGTAGTGGTACCGTCACCCGCAATCTCATTCGTCTTCTGCGCGACATCCTGAACAAGACTATGGGGAGGTCAACATCATACGGACAAACAGTCATCGGGGATGGGGAACTGACCGAGCACCCAGGTTCTCGAACTTGTCCTTGAGGGTAATCGACTTCGCAACAGTGACACCGTCTAAAAGAATGTGTCAGCATGAGAATCTCGCGCCAGCGGCACAATGAGTTGAGTAAGAGGAACCGTCAGGAGCCACAAATAATCAACAGGCCGTCTATAAGATATTTGCAGGTCCAGAACGTATAACTGACCGACGCGCCCCCCCCCCCAGCCCCCTGTCCATGGGGAGCGGGCGCTGTAGCCTGCTAGGGTCCGTGGGTCTGTGGCGCGACATGTACTGGCAACCCGCGGCAAAAAAGTGCGCAGAGGGTGTACGCGAACCACCATATACACGATGCTGTTAGACGTCATCGCGACACACCCCGCGACCGCGTCTCCAGCGCACGACAGTCCAATGCACGAGTCGACAGAGCAAAATAAGGCATAGATTAAGGACACTCACCCTTGGTGATCTTGGGACCACCGAACGGTTGCTCGATGATGACGTTACGACCTGAAGGCACAGTGACGTGTCAGTCGCGTCAGACTCGCGCGTTCGAGTAGGAAGTATGGACGCACCCTTCGGACCAAGGGTTACTGAGACAGCATTGGCAAGGACGTCGACACCGTTGAGGATGGACGCCCTGCCCTCGTTGGAGAACTTAATCTCCTTGTGCGCGCCGCGCTTGAGCACAGGCTTCGCGGCCTTTGCAGCAGAGCGGCGGACGGCAGAGGTGGAAGCAGACGAGAGACGGTGCATGGCGAGAGCAACGACAACGAGGGCGAGAGACGAGCCTTGAAAGAGGAAGAGGGCGAGGACGGGGACAGTGAGCAAGAGAACTGGCCTCGCGAATTTTGGTGACGCGCTGCTTATGTCCGCTTTCCCACAGAATTCTCTAGAATCACGGTCACACCTCGTCACAGTCACCGCGCGCTCTCAATATTCCCGTTTATGGTTGGCTTTTCCTGGCACTGTATCCCCTAGGTTCGTTTGGTACGAGACTACCAGGACTAGTACATAGGCATGGTACTAAGTAGTGTTCTCTCCTGCAGATCCCCATGCATCAACACCACAGCGTCCCCTGCTTGGACAGGGCAAAAAGGGCCCAACCGGGATTCGAACCCGGGATCCCTTGCAATCAGACGAACGCCCAAAGCAAGTATCTTACCTCTAGACCATTGGGCCGGTGATGAAGGGTAGCATAAGTAGACATAAGATTAGAAGCGTTGCAGGGACAAGTGTACGTCATGGATGGGGCAAGCGCTCTTGGGGTCTCGATACATAAACTGCGCAGGCGCAGCGTTCTCAGTTCACCCTCTCTACTTCCTCTGCAAATACCACGACGACGAACACACCAGCGTCGACCTGAACTACTGTCTCCTCCCAACGGTTCAGCACCAGCAGCATGTCACCGGCTCCATCTGCTACTCTGGCCTACCCTCCCTCTGCCCACTCCTCTTCTGCACAACAGTCAGAGTTGACGGAAACACAGCCCGCGCCAGTGGCCACCATGACTGCCAGCCCTGCTTTGCGTACAGAGACGGGCCCTGCTGAGCGCATCCGCGGAGGCTGTATTCCATGTCCAGTGAGTAGTATCCGGAATCTCTTCATTGAGCTTTGCCAAATCTCACTGCACCGTTCTCGCACAGAATGGCAGTATATGCTACATCATTCCTATTCCTCTCTGCTGCTGCTGAACGAACAGACATCATGCACATGAATAGTCAGCAAGTGACCCTTCTGGTCATTGCCTACAACTTGTATATAGTGCGACATAGCATCCCTCTCTGCTCCCTCGACACTCTGCTCTCGTGTTTCTAATCCGGACATGTTTCTTGTAGCCTAGAACTATCTCTCTGTGTATGTATCCCGCTGTATACACATGCACGTGGACCCTTGTTTGCAGAATACATCGTGTCAGACAAACATCTTCGACGTGCGGATGGCCTCTCTTACCGGCGTTTCGCTCCGCATTCTCATCTCGGACCACGACCTCGGAAGTGCTTGTTGTATGTCTGCTGCAGCGCTCTACCGTCTACACCACGTCTACAGCATGCGATTCGGCCTCTAAGCGTGTCGCATAAACTGAATCTGTTTGACTGCCCCAAATACGCCCGCGATGGACAAGTTCGCCACGCTCGAGCCCGTGCGGCTCTACAATGCACCCACTCCGTCCACCTCGTCTGGGTCTGCACCCTCCTCCAATCGTTTCTCATTCCACAAACCAGCCGCACTTCCGGTCTCCTCGCACTCGCGCACAAAAAGCTACGCCCCGTTCCAGCTCATCGGCAGACTTCCTGTCGATCTTCACATCACCGTCCTCACCCACCTCGCTGTGCCCGACATCCCCGCCTATGCCCGCTGCTCTCGTGCCCTCGGCAATCTCGCGAAGGACGAGCGTGTCTGGGAGGCTCGCTGGAAGGCATTTGGCGTCGACAAACACAACCTAGACGACGTCCTTGATGCCCTCGACGAGAAGGTCAAAGTTCAGAACGGCCTTGACAAGACCCAAGCTCCTCCCACTCTCGCGACCGACAGCGTCGACGATGAGTTCGGCGATTTTGCGTCTATCAATGCCCAAGCGGGCGAGATGGGCGATTTCGTCGGTGCGTTCAGTCTCTCCACACCGCGCACACCAGCTGGGTTTCCCCCACTGTCCACGAAGTCATGTCGCGCACTCTACATACGTGCCCACACGCTCCTCAAGCCTCTCATCCCCGCTCTGTCCTCACCTCCGCATGCTGTTCTCTCCAACCTGTTCCCCTCGCCCGCCCCGTCTTTGCGACATCAAGCCCACACCCTCCGTCTTCTGTCTCTCTTCCTCTCTCCAAGTGTCAAGCCTCTCCGGAATTGGGAGACGCTCAGCGCAGCTCTCCGCGCCGCAGTAGATCGTTTCGAGGACGGTCTCTTAACTGCCTTCGATGTCGCCGACGGAAAGGATGACGAAAAGGGCATGGCCGAGGCTGCGCAGGCCAGCTGGGAAGTCTGGGACGGTTCCGGACGCGAATGGGAACTAGGGAAGGTCTGGGCCGAGAAACGCGAGATATTCTACGAGCAGAGCAAATGGAAGCCGCTTGACAATTTCACGTACGTCCTCCTGGGCTTCGTGCGCCAGTCATGTCCTGACCTACGAACAGTAACGACTCTCAACTCGACTTCACGCCGATGGACGAGTTCATCGCGGAGATTCTGGCTGCGCTGCAAGAGCATGGCACGCGCGCAGTCCGCGTGTTTCCGCCAGAATCCCACGTGTTGCTCTCCTTTGCAGACCGATTAGCGAACGAAGTGGTGAGTCCGCCTGTCCTTCGCAGAGTGGTCGGTGCCGACATGAATCTGATGACAGGTAGGCGAATACACATCCTCTCTCCTCACCCGCGCGCGCGAAATCTCGAATGAGATATACCTCAAAGCCGCCGCCGCGAGCTTCAAGGAGGCATGGCGGATGGTCGATACCATCGTGCAGGTTGCTGCCACCCGGCCCGAGTACCAGCTCCCGAAAACCAAGGTAGAGGATGTGGTGTAGGTCGACTGCCCCTGCTCTCCGTACATAACATACTGAGTATTCGCAGATATCGGATGTTCGAACCGAACATGGACGAGTACCTTGACGAGGAGATCGAATTTGTCAAACAGAGCTTTGAAATGACTTGTCGCTCTTGGGAGAATCAAGTGAGAATCGCTATCGCTTCCTCGTAGCACCTTGGGTTGCTTACCCTCTGCAGGTCTCGGACCACAAAGTAGCAGCGGGCACCCCGGCGAACACTGAGCACGCGCGTTTCCTCGGCTCGCATAATCCTGCACAGGTCAAGCGAACCGTACTGGCCTCATTCACTGACGTCCTGCTCCTCCCTGTGACTATCGTGCCGCGTGCGGTAGGAGCGGCGATTACGACTGGTAGTACCGCCGCCGTACAAGGGATCCAAATGCTTAATCCGCAACGATGGGGAGCAACGTCGACTGGCCGTACCTCCTCCTGGAATGCGAACGGCCGTAACGGCTATGTGCGCGACTTCGAGAAGGGCGGCGACGGGATGCTCTTCGATATCGGTGCAGATGACGACGACGATGCCGACGAGACAAATGAGAAGGCGAGTGATAAGCAGACCCCCCGCTGTAAGTCAATGATTATCTGCTATTCCACGTCGTCCCTAACCCTTCCGTGCAGCCTCATTGACCGTGTCAACGACGACTACCGAAGACTCGAGTAGCACCGCTCCCACATCTCTCCAGTCTACACGCGTGTCCACTCCGAATCCGCCTGCATTAGACAACCTAGACCTCTTGCTGTCCTTGGACGTCGCTCTCGAACTCATTCACGCAGACCGCGACTCGCTCAAGCGCGCAGAAACCTTTTCTGGATATCCTGGCACATACGGACACCGGGTGCGCGACACGATTGAAGAAATCTTCGTTCTCATGCTCCAAGCATTGGGAGATCGTCATATCAAGCCCGGCTTCCAGACGTATGTTGTCGGCGTTTCCGAGCGCGTGGCCTGACAACTGATCCAACGCAGGGCAATCGAGCAGATGAGATCCTACAAGCCTGCCGAGCACGATGAGACGAAAAGCGTAGCGCCGCTACTCCAATTCTTCGAGCTGGTGCACATCGGAGACACGATGCAGTCGATGATCCAGGTCTACTTCGACAAAGAGCTGGCGAGTATAGCGGTTATAATGTCTACGGTAATACACCCGCTGATGAATCACGCGCTTAGGCCCCCCACATAGACCGTCACGACTTCCTGAATACCGTTGTTCGAGAGAAGAAGCATTTTGAGGACGTGCTAGACGATAGTGTCGCTGCAGGGCTGAACGCGGCCACAGACGCGCTGATGAATCAGGTATGTTCGTGCGAAGGGCTTCTCTAGCGACTCGAACTCATCCCCATGCCTAGGTGGAACATATCATCCAAACGCTGACAAAGCCTCGGGAATATTACCCGCCGGAGGACAGCCCTTTGGAGCTTGGGCCTACGGCGGGCTGCCGTGAGGCGATTAAGTGCTTACAGATGCACTGCCAGTTGCTCAAGGGCAGTACGAGCAAAGAAGTGCTAGAGGTGTTCTATCAAGAGGTCGGGATCCGGCTGATTGCGTAAGTTCAGTCATCCAAGGTACTGCGGCGCGCCTGACATCTATGGACGCAGCATCCTTCAAAAGCACATCAAGCGACAAATCATCTCCTTGAGCGGCGGGTTCCAGGTGATTGCGGACCTGAATGCCTATCACACCTTCATCACGTCGCTGCGTGTTGCAAGCATCACGTCCGAGTTCGCATATCTGAAGATGCTGGGACATGTCTACGTCGTTGAGGACGCAAAGGATCTTGCGCAGATTGTGAGGGACGTGACGCGGTACGGCGGTGCATATCGACCCGAGGTGCGTGCTTTGTCCGCTGTGAGGTGTTCATGTTGCTGAGCGTGTGGCAGGATATATACGAGTTCATTCAGCGGCGGTCAGACTGGAAGAAGATTGAGAAGACGGTGGACAAGACGATGTACAACCTCTCGTTCAAAGAGGACTGCCTTGTCTGTTGACCGGTGCGCGGCCCGGCTGCCCGCGTGACGTCACGCTGCTCCGGCGCAGCGCAGACGCCGGCTGTGGGCTGTCCTTATAGTGCTGCTCTCTGCCTCTGCCTCCGCCGCTCGCTCCTTGACTTATCCACACCTCTCATCGCGCCGCGCCGCTCGACTATTCGTTGCTTTGCCACACCCCAACCACTCCTCTTGCTCCATGTCCATCCCCGAGTTCTCCCTCCGCCTCCAGAAAGGTGCGCGCGCACGCCGCTCATACCTGCATCCGATAACGACCGTACTCACACATGCTCCGTTCAGGCATCACCGGTGGCTTCGCGCCCCCTCGCCCGAGCGCGATCGTTACCATCACGGGTCTTCCGACCCAGAACCTGCTCAACATCACCAGCGCAGTCCGCCCGGATGGAACGCCATCCCTCCAAGATGCCGTCCCAAAGTCCATTTCCGCGCAGGATGAGCACACCGTCACGCTTGTCAACGAGCTTCGCAGCATCCTCCAGTCCATCCCCACCGAATCCCCACCAGGGAGCCAGGACATCTACGGTCTTGACACCAGCATCGCCTTTGGGTCCGAGGACTTCATGTGGCAGAATGGTGGCCCGCAGGGATGCGGCGGTGGAGAGAGCTCGGTGCAGCCTACCGAGGAGCAGAAGGC